ATCATCTATCATATTAGTGAGCCATACAAGATGTGAATTAATGCGTTGTGCATTCAATGGTATATCTTGTTCGTTATCTTCCTTTGAAAATTTAATTTGTGGAATAAATGTTTGTCGATCTGCAAGCCATTCCTTGGGTAATTGATCACCAATAAGACCGAGACGTAGTTTCAGCGCGGGTACAAATATTGCTTTATCCCACCACCAGCACAGTGGCTGTGTTACACTGTTTGAAAAGAGTGCTGGTGAATCAGGTTGAAGACGATCGAGTGTTCGTAAAATGAGATGAGTGTCACAATACACATCAGCGCCCACCTGAAGTACTGGTATACGTCGATAGCCACCTGTTAGAATATCAAGGTAAGGTCGTGGAGGCATTCGATTAACAATCACCGAACGCCAATTTAATTTCTTTAAGCCCATTGCCATTCGTATTTTCTCAGCAAATGGTGATGTTGGATAGTGATACAGAATTAAGTTTTCAGACATACTTGCAACACTCTGTCAACTGAAAAAAAATAAACACATGCAAATGTGGTCTATTCATTATATACATCACATCAAATAAAGATAAGAAAAGAAAGAAACATAGGATGGCGACAGTATGTGTTTTATGATGCTAATAAGAATAAAGAACAAAAATGGCGCATACAGGACGGTCGTGAATGAAAGCTTGAGAAATTTGACTGCCTTCTGTCTTTTCTTTGGAGAAGCCTGAATACACATCTACATAATTTTTCTTGAATTTATCTTATAGGAAATACTTCTTTTACCGTCAAAATCAAAGATTCAATCGACCTCTCGATTTAGAAGAAATTATAGATGCAAATTCTGATAGACTGAAAACAAATAAAATATTTTTTTTCTACTTTTCTATGTATGTAACTATTGTGCTATACTCATTGTTTTTTTTTGTTTATAATTCGAAATATGTGTATATGTATTTTCAATAAATTTTATAATCAAAAATGTGTTAAGAGGAAGTTTATATTAAACTTAGTTCTTGCACTAAGGACGCCATGATGGTTTGTTGTGTCGATATCAACCTTCATATTGATGATGGATGCTCGATTGGTCGAGAGTATTTTGATGATTTCAGACTTCAGTCAGTTTTGTTAAAAAAACTAAGTGTAGTTTAATATAGAAAAAATTTTTTCTATCGATTAGAGTTTCTTAAATATAGGACCCTTTCCGCTGAATTCGAGGGCGCCACATGTAGTGCATTTGACAATGTTTCGGTTGTACACTAATAAGTTGAGTTACACAAAGAAAGAAAAAAACAACAACATAAAAGAAGCATGGTTTTCACCATTATTAATGCAATTCATACATTCATTTTTAAATGTGCGACACGGCTAACACATAATCATTATTACAACAATGACAGTATATTCAAAACTTGTCCCAATAGGATGGCTCGCTCATCTTGGAGCAAGTTACTATTTAGTACGACCTCTTCGTTCATTATCATATCGAACTCTTCTAACAATTATTCCATGTGCAGCTTTGATATATGCTGGATCTCAAAATCTTCCTCAATTCCATGAGTCATCTGTCCTGATAGTTTCACTTTACTGGATGATATCAATTCGTTTGATTGATTTAATTGTATTTTCACCAGAGAAGCCACTTTCACTGCCTTCATATGCTGGAAAATTTTTGTGGTTCGTATGTCCCATTGTAGAATGTGACTTAAATTATCCGATCATCTTCGATGTTACTTCAGCCGGTATAAAACTTGTATTAGCTATTTGGATCTATCGATGGTTTCTTGTTTGTGAATCGAGTAATAGTTATGCTCAAATGGGCATGTTATATCTGCTTATCTGTACAAGCATGTATGCCGATGACATGCAAATTGCGCTCGTTCGACTTATAACACGTGATAAATATACTACTTTGTCAGTCAACGATTTCCCATTTAAGTCCAGATCTATTCGAGAATTTTGGGGCCGTCGCTATAATCGAATCAATAGTTCACTTCTCAAGGAATCTGTTTTTGAACCTACTCGACGTTTATTTTCTTTTTCACCAACGATGGCTACTCTGACTAGTTTCGCAGTGAACGGTCTGCTTCATGCTCATATAGCTGTTGCTTGCTTCGGTGCATCATCTCCATTGCCTATATTTACCTTCTTTCTTGCACAAGGCGCTGCTTGTTGTGTAGAAACAATTTTTTCAATAAAACTACCTAAACCAATTGGAATTGTAGTTACACATATGTTTCTTCTTTTCACAGCACGAGTCTGCATCGGACTACCTAATCTCGCTGGTTCCAATTATTTTTCGCTTAATGCACCTCCATTATTGAATGCAAAATGGTTACCTCAATTGCGAATACCCAATTTTTTCCCCAAAATAGACTATCATATCTAACTAACATTTGAATTGGGTTGCTACAATTTAGTTTATTTCAATATATTAGAAAGAAAAAGATCAACATTTTTTAATATCATATTAGAAGTAATATTTTTGCTTCGTAGAAGTATAATTACAATTCCAAATAAATTGAATAATACATTTGAAATTGTCTAAATTTATATTATTTAACTACCTACAAATATCAGAAAGATTGTTCATGAGATCAAATTTGAACTATATATAATAGTATATAATTTGATATTTGTTTTCAAAATATCGATTTGTAGATTTGATTTTTCCGTTAAAAAAAGTTTTTTTTCGCAGATATCAGTTTTCTATAAAGTTTCATCAAAGTGTGGTTCAGTTTATTGCAAGGGGGAAACGGCGGATTCTCGGAATTCCGAATCCCTTGGAGTACGATGAAAATCTTAAAAATCCTGAGAGTACGAAATCCGCCGTTTCCCCCTTGGCGCGAACAGTCTAGAAATGGAATGAAACCTTTAGAGTTTTCGAAATATTATACCTTCAACATTTATCTATGAAGTTTTTATATTTTGCTTTTCGATATTTACTCTTGCAAGATTTATTCAACGTGTCGCCTAAATAAGCCGGAAGAATGTCAGTTAGAACAGCTGATCGAATGAACTTCAATATGAACACCAAAATATTTTACTTAGACGATTGGAAAAGTTTCAAATTTGACAACATAATATTTCTCTAATTGAAAACTAATTACTAAAAGCATTGTAGTATTATTATTATATAGTATAAGATAAATTCATGATTGAAATACCCATCTATTAACCATATTATATTGTCCTTCTAGAACTATTTTATAGAAATTTGATGGATATTGTTTAATATCGACGATAATCATATTCTTATCTACAGGTACAGTTTCAATTAGATGATAAGTATCCATCGTACCATTCTTAAACGAATTTGTTGTTGATAACCACACTTTTACATTTCCAGTAGGATCTAAAACTGTCCAACTAATTTGTAAATTAGTATCGTACAATTTGATATCCGGTTTTATTAATGATACTTTTCCTGTCAATGGTACTGCATCTAATTCTCTTTCAATTTCAATGGGAATGTTAAGATTTAATAATCTTGCAATTGTTGGATATATATCAACTATGGCAGGTTGAAAATCACGAAAATATGAATTCATTGCGTTATTATTTGTTATTATCCACGTTGTTCGTTCTCTATCTGTGTGATTACCATGGTGTTGACCTGTTATTGGATCTCTACCATGATCTGTTGTAATAATAATTGACCAATCTTCATCATGATTCTTCATTCGATATTCAATAGATTCCCAAATTTGACCTATCTGTTTGTCAATATTTTTGATTGCTTGATCGAATTGTTCACTATCTCCAAATTCATGTCCTATATCATCCGTATATTGTAAATATACCCATGAAAGATCAGGTGCATATGTTTTTATACATGCTGATGTTTCATTAGTCACACGTTGATCGATATCAAACATATAATGACCATCTGGATCATGAGGATAAGTAGTCAGATCAAGTTCATATCCATCAAATTTATAATCAAATGTAATAGAACCTGCATTCGGTAATCCTTCACCTACAAGTTTAACGCGGTTAACTGTCCACGTTGAGAAAATAGCAATTTTTTTATCAGAATATTGTTCTTTAAACAGTCGAAAAATATTTTTATAATGATAGTTGGGTGTTTGGACACTATTATCATATACATTGTGTTTATTAGCCCATGTACCAGTAAGTAAATTCATATAACCAGGTGCCGAAATAGTAGGCGTTTCTGAATAGGTACTATTATCACCTCCAACATAAGCTCTTGTATATTGTCCAATTTCTTGAATTTTCTTCATGTTTGGAACTGAAATACTTTCTATGAGATCTGCAGGAATACCATCTGCGATTATAAACAAAATCTTATGTTGTCGTTGTCCTTGTTGATCTGATTTTACGCGAAGTTTGATGATAAGAACTATTAGTGCAATTACAGCGCCAATAAGCAGTGCAATTAAAATCAATAGAACTAATATTCCATTACGTTTTATAGTCTTGAATATGGAACAACGTTTCTTGTCTATTGGAAAATTTTCTTCCGAATAACCTGACACTGCAATTATTTGGCTCATGATAGAGGACTTTTTTTATTCTCAACAAATGAATCGTATATATTCTAAAATGAAAACTATTCTTTATCACTACAATCGTTTGACTTGCAACAGCAATTAAAAAAAAGAACAGTACATATAGCTACTATTAAATCCAGCATTTACAATGCCTGCAATGTGATAAACATAATCTCTTATGAAGTATGGTGCACGAGTGGACGCTATTTTTTTATAACCACTGTATATCACAATAAATATCTTCCTACATGCATACATGTCGTAAATGATTCTTTAGTGATGTTGGTGTGGGTTTTATTTACTGTTAACTTACATCCTCATTATTGAATCCTGAAAGATTCAAAACTATCATAAAACAACTTGTTTTATTTATTAAAGAAAAGATTAATAAATTAAAACATTAATAGTATAGTCGATGATTACAGTAACCAAGTGGATTTTTTTCTAAATATCTTTGATGTTTAGATTCGCCCTTGTAAAATTGCAATCCATCAGCAGGTTGAATCTGCGTGACAATTTCTCCGTTAACATTACCACTGGCTTGTACATTGTCACGCACTTGCTCGGCAATTTTTTGTTGTTCATCGCTATGAGTGAAGATGACCGAACGATATTGAGTACCTTGATCATTACCTTGTCTATTTAAAGTCGTTGGATCATGCATACGGAAGAAGAAATGAACTAAATCACTGTATTCAACTTTGCTTGGATCAAAGGATATTTGTAATACTTCAGCATGATTTGTCAATCCAGTACATACATATAGATAATTAGCTTTAGTAGGTCCACCCATATATCCAACCATTGTCGAAGCCAATTTTTTTCCGAATTGCTTGCGAAAGAATTTTTCTGTTCCCCAAAAACATCCAGCACCAAAAGTAGCTAGTTCTAAACCGTCTTGACTTGCTGATGCCATATCGACATCTTGTTGTTCTCGTTTTTGTGACGATGTAGCACCCATCAATGATCGATTCAGTATAAATGATATTATGCAACTAAAACACGTGCGTCAATTTTGCATCAAATAATCGTTGTTTTTCTTTTTCGTTCGCGTCTTGTCGTAGAGACACGTTAAAAAACACCGCTTTACACACAATTTTTTTTTCTTTTCTTTTCTTTTCTTTTTGTCATGTGAATACATCCACAGCGGACTGATACATTTTTAGAGGAAAAGAAAAATTGTAAGAAATTCTCAATATTTTTTTCTGAGCAAACTTGCCGTATAAATTGTTTTATATAAGATAAACTTTTAAAAAAATGATAGGGGTAATATCTACAAAGCTATGTTAAATGTCTCTCCTCTTTATTGTCATAATAGTTTATAATATATTTTTTCCCAGAAATAGTTATAAGTTATTTTATATAGTTTCATATAGAAAAGATTATGCTATTTAAATTATGCATGAATTATTATTTCAAAAACTGTTAGCACAATTTCTTCAAATATAAAATGTAAAAATCTTTTAATTATGTATTTTTACGATATTAATCCTAATTGATTTGAATGGTTAAAATGACTAAATATTGATGACTGCAAATAGTCAACAATGAATTTTTCATGAAATACTATCTTACTAGGAAGACTTGGTTAAACCATATTTTAAAAATATAATAATTATCCTTCTATTATTCAGCAATAAGAAATCTATTCATTATTATGCGGAATCTTTATATATTTTTAATTAATGAAATTCAAAGTTAATTACTAGTTGAACTATGAGTTATATTTTTAGAAACTATAATTGACTTTGTTATTCTTCAATCTTTCAATGTGTTAGAATTGCTTTTTATCAAAAGAATACCGAGTTATACAATCAAATCAACATTCATCTTATCAATTAACAAAAAAAATTAAATGACAAAAGCAGAATTTTATTTCTTTCTCGTTACTTTAATTTTTCTTCGACTGAAGAAAACAGTGTTATTACGTTTATATACTGAATAAGTACGTATAACGACATAGATTATTAGATTACGTAAAAATGAATGGAAATAAACGCCTCCAGGTGTAGAAATTCTGCATCGTTAATATAAATTCTTCATTTATACAAAGAAAAAATATTCTTATCAAGAACCAATGAGAATGAAGAGAGAGAATTAAATGAATCTGAGGATATTGTCAAAAACATACATCCAGAAAAATAGTGAATAAAATTAAAAGAAAAAGCCAGAACATTTCTATAAGAACAAATATTTAAAAATGTCAACTGCGATATTATCAACGATTCAAAGTCAATTAAATTTTTATACATATACAATTGTTATGGCTGCAGGAAATATTGGAAATATATTTGTACTTATACTCTTTACTCGACAACGTCAAAATGCATGTTCAATTTATTTGATAAGTTCAACTATAGTTAATAGTATTTATTTAACATTTACTAGTTTTATTCAATTATCTCCTTTTGATTATACTGATGGAACAACACGTGCATTTATTTTATGTAAATTACGTTCATATTTAGCAGGAGTTCTTGGACTTACAACTAAAACACTTATTGTATTAGCATGTATTGATCGTTTTATGATTACAAATCGTCGTGCAAATCTGCGTGCATTTAGTACACCAAAACGAGCTAAATATTTCGTTTGTTTTTTTTGTATTTTTTGGCCAATTTTTGGTTGTCATGCTGCAGTAATGACAACAATTATTAATCGACAATGTGGTCAATTTGGTATTTATTCCATAATTTATACTATTTATGTTGCAATATTTGTTGGTTTCATTCCACCTATTACATCAGGTACATTAGGATATTTAACTTATAAAAGTTTGAGACAAAGACGTAATCGTATTGAACCAGTTGCACATCATGGTAACAATGCTAATGCTCCTATTCGACGACGAGATAGGGAATTATTGATTATGGTCATGTCTGAAGTATTTGTTTATATTATAACATCACTTCCATATCCTTTTATTCTTTTGGAGATGATGATTAGTCGAAATGTAGTATTAAATAAAAGTATTCAATATACACAAATTGAACTTTTTATATTTGGTATTGCATTATTATTAGTATATATGAATGCTGCTGCACCATTTTATATTTATATAATTTCATCGAAAGGATTTCGTCGAGAATTTAAACAATTAATTATGAATTTTTATAGAAAACAACGAGGACAGCCAACACTTCAAAGAACAACCCAGCACACACTTACACAAAATGGTACTCATGTTCAATAAAATATCTTTACTAATATATTTAATTTTGTTTATATGTTGTATTTTATCGTTTCAATAAAAATATTTGTTTAATTATTCAAAAGTAGAAATAGTTAGAAAATTGTTGGTAATATTCGATAGTTTTCGACTCGAAAAAATATCTTCCTATAAATTATTCGATGTAATATTCTTAGCATAGTGATAATGACTCTCAAAATATATCAAACTTTCAGTGATCTCTCGTAGGAAGTAGGAATTCAGAATCTTTACCAATAAGACTTTCGTCAAACAACACTTGCGTCAATATAATCTTGAATTTTTATCATTAGAGAAAGTCTTGTTGATGAGGTTTCAGTAACTTGAAAAGTTTGTGAATCATCATGAGATTTCTGATTAGAGTATGCTTGCTGAATAATTACTGCATTGATGTTTAAACTTTAATGCACACTCCACTTATAAAAACTATCAAATGGGTGCCTTTTACTTTTAGTATATTAGACAGTTATCTCCAACTGCTTAATTGAGTGTATTATAAAGAAAGAAAAGAAACATTAACACAACACGTAACAATAAAAAATTAATTGGGTATTTTTTATTTTTTTTATTATAAATGAAACATAAAAAAATAATGCACTTAATGATATTTTTTCTTGAGGAGATTAAATTTATATTTTAATAATAATGTATGAATCAGTTGCACAGATAAAATAAATAGACAAATATCTATATTAATATACAGTCATGCATTAAAAGCACTCAAAGGTATAATTTCAGTTATAAAAAGAATGTTTCATTTTCAGTGGGTAATATAATACAATGTTTCAATATTGGATATATTTTATTTTGTTTTGACAACCGTTCAATAAGAACAAAAATGATTGATGTCGAATTATATTCAAATTCTTCATCGAATATTTCTACACATGCAACATGGTTTTGTAGAAAGGAAGATATTTCATTAGATAAAAATAAAATTATACATTTAACAATTTATAGTTTAACATATGATCATAATTATTGGCATTTTCTTCATCAACCAACGAATTATTCAATGTTTATGTTATTAAACTACAACAGTTGCTAATTTAAAAATTAAAAATAGCGATGCCATACAAAATTTACTAGTTAATTGTCACAATTACTACTATTCATTGGAAAAATAATCTTTCACATTGATACTTCCTCATTATATATATATTCTTTCCTTTTCATCATTTCATAGATGAACACAACAACTTTCCCAGTTTCTCTGTTAAATGATTCTAATATTTCAATCATAATTAATCAATCATGGTTTATTCCAGTACTTAATTTATGAGGCTGATTAAACATTCATGTTTCTCTGGTTTTTCATTTATATTTATTATATTTTGGATGACAATTATTACACTTCATAATGATCTGAAATAAATTTATTATCAAGATTTATTTCGTATTTTTCGAGGTTATATGACTTATGTTACTAATTTTGGACTATTTTATTCTTATTTATTACAAGCAATTTATAATTATATAACAGTAGTTCATCCAACTCGTTTGTTTTGGCAATTAGGAAAATTTCAATTTTTTCTGATTATTTTAATATGGATGCATGCTTTTATTTGTGCATGTCCACAAATAGCTACTAATGAAATAAAATATCTTGTTAATGATTAAATATGTCAAATGTTAAATTATCTTTCGATCGTAACAGTTTATAATGTATTTATTTATTTGAAATTAATTCACTATGTTAGAGAAATAAATAAACGTATTACATTAGTAAATACATTATTACGTGTACAAAGGAATTAAAAATGGTTTATCGAATTGTTATACTTGTATCAATTTTATTAACACTTAGTGTACCTTGTACAATATTTGTTTTTATGGGATTTTTTACTTTACCACCAAAATATGATTTTCGTATTGCTTATGCATTTGTTGAAATATCATTAGTATTTGTTATGATTGCTTTATGTGAATTTACTGAACCAGTTCGAACATCAATATTGAAAAGAATAAATCGACGACCGAATGCAATCGTAGCAACAATGACATGAATAATTCTATTTTTTTCTAAATTTTGTCACGAATTTCTTTTTATCATATTCAACGAAGGATAGTCCATCTGTATGAAGAAATTCATTTCAGATTACTTGTTTGAGTGTTTCCTTTACGTCCTACAGACTTAAATCCGTTTTATTTGATCTAGGAATGAGCAAATTCACAGCTTTCTCTGATCATTCAACTGAAAAAATGACGTGCGATATACGGTGATGTTTAGATTTAAAAAAAGTATTTATATCGAAATCCATACATCAAAGAGATGTTCATGGGAGCGCGGTAGCGGTTGAGTTTCTGAAAAGGGTGTGAATGTGGTTCAATGTTTTATACGAAGTTAGATATGCGTCAGTAAGCTTTACTAAGCAAAATAAAAACAGATTGATTCGTTTTCTTATGTGCTCCGGTTCTTTACCAGATAGATTGAAGCAGTCTTATTTGACAACAACAAAATAAAAGGCAAGATATAGTAACGCCTGTTACATCTTCAGTTTACCACATGATGATGTATCGTTGTTGACTGTCTTTCCTTTTATAGATTTATCTATAGGATCGAAGTTTACTACATAATAGAAATTCATAATTAAAAGATGTTTTTATTGATCTTTCGTTTTATTATTTCAACAAGCCACGTTTCACATTTGATATTTGAAGAAATTGTGCTAACATTTTTTAAATAATCAGTAATCAGTAGACTTCATAAAATACAATAATCTTTTCTTTATGAAACTATTTTAGGAAGAAATATATAAAAATATCATGTCGAAATGTTGAAAATGAAAGAATGTTATTAATTGATGCATACATTAAAAACATCATGGCAAGAATACTTTTTCTCTACTTCTGAAATATGACAGACATTCAAGGTTGAATTCAATATGAACATGGATATCTGAGATTGTATTTATCTTTAACGAAACTAAACATATCAACTGGTTCGAAATTTTTTGTATCGTACGCTCTAGTCTTCAGCAAGAACCACGACAACATCTTTTTCTTTTTCATTTCTTCTTGTTTTTTCGATGCACATGCGCAAACACGCACATGAAAAGCAAAAAGAATCTTGAGTTGAAATCTTTCGCAATTCGTCAAATTTTAAATGTATCCTTCAAAATGCAGAAAATATTATCACCTAAAACACACAAAGATCACAGTGGTATAAGATTACACTTAAAATGATCGATAGTTACTGGTATATTTGCATATTAATATGTGTGCAGTACTTCAATAAAGATGTGAATTTGCTTTTCAAGTGACGAAAAAGATCTCAAATTACTTTTGCTAAAATATTAAATGTGAATTTAATTATTTGAGAGCTAATATTTCTTTATAATTATGTTTTGTAATGAACATATTTTGTATTTTTAATGAAGAAGACTTTTAAAAGCAACTTTAATTTTATTTCAATTTGTTTAACTAATAATAATATTAGTTGACCGTACGATATATCTAATACAAGAGGTAAAAACCGATACTTTCGCACTCCCATTGTACTTCGACTGTACCCCGATCGTACTTATTATACTCTCCGCGTACTTTAAAATAATTTTGAAGTGAACAAAATATCGCTTTTCTTCTCTTGCGTGAGTATTAATAATAAAAATGATTCATAGATGATACCTTTTATACCTTTCTAATCACTGTAAAATATTTGCGTATGAGATTCTGTTCTTCAGGTGAATATAATTTAATACTGTTAATCGTGCTCTTGAAACTTGAGAAAAAGAAAAGACGTCAATATATAAAGAAAAATAAAGATATCTTCTCTCACAATTATTTTTTTCTTCTTTTGATCAATTAGGTATTCTCATTGATAGAAGGAAACAACATTCAAGATGTTCATTTCCAATATTTTCATCGTGAGTTTTCTTTTGATAATGATCAACGAAAGAGCAGGTAAACATTTTTATCTACTTTGGGATCTATGGGAGTTCTCAGTGAATTTGATTTTCTTTTGTACTATTGATTTCTATCTTGCTCTTTTTTTTAGTTCTTTCATTTGATCAACCGGAATTCTGTTCAACAGCAACTTGGAATCCCAATGGAATCATTTTTGCCAATGAAACAACTATTGGTTCATCTCCTCGTGCCATGTTTATCGATTCAAATAACACTGTTTATGCCCTAAATCAAGACAAACATCAAATTCTCATTTGGTCTGAAGGAAGTGTCAATCCAACAAACATCATTTCTGCCAATTTCTCAGATTCATTTTCCATGTTTGTGACAGACAATGGCGATATTTATTTCGATAACTCAGAAGACAACGGTCGAGTGGATCGTTGGATATCAAGTACAAACACTTTCGACATCGTTATCAATTCTAAATCAACATGTTCTGGTCTTTTTATTGATACTAATAATACTCTCTACTGTTCAATGTTTTATGATCATCAAGTCGTGAAAAGATGGTTGAATGATGATAGTATGACATTGACGACGGTGGCTGGCATAGGCAAAAGAGGATCTGCTTTGAATCAATAGGATTATCCTATGGGAATCTTTGTTGATGTCAACGCTGATTTGTACGTAGCAGACAATGCAAATGATCGGGTCCAATTATTCAAATCAGGACAATCGATTGCCATCACTGTGGCTGGCGATGGATCAATACAGGAAACTATTTCACTCGTTCGTCCAACTGGAGTTGTTTTAGATAGAAATGGGCATCTCTTCATTTTGGATCGTGGAAATCATCGTATTATTAAATCCGGACAATATGGTTTTCAATGCTTAGTTGGATGTGATGGAGAGGGTTCTCAATCCAATCAATTATCTAATCCGATCACTATGAATTTCGATCGAACTGGAAATATATTTGTTACTGATACGGACAATCATCGGATTCAGAAATATACATTCTATGAAAACTCTTGTCGTAAGTTGAATTATTCTACTTAAGATTAGAATCGAAGAGAACTCACTTGAACAAAATCTTGAGGGTATGGGTGTGGATGCTCACTTTATCATCACCCTCACC